TTGTATGTTTTTATGCACTATACATATTTGCACCAAAAGAATCCACGGCAGAACAAGCAATAGATATAAGTGAAGATTCAATAGCATTTGGTACATTTAGCATTAGAACATAGAGTTGTGATGGTGCAATGGTTAGAATGCAGTATTGCAGGCTAATTCTGCTGTATTGCTGGCTGACTGCCAATTGCCAGCAGTTCAGCAGTTTGAGTCTCACAGGCTCAAGTTGACTCAGCCTTCCATCCTTCCAAGGTCAGTAAAATGAAGGCCCAAGTTGATGGAGGAAATATGCTGACTTTGTAAACCATTTAAAGAAAGCTGTAAAGCACTGTGACGCGGTATATAAATCTAAGTGCTATTTCTATATGTATACAGATGCATGTTTAAAAAAAATCTGTGAAGAACAGTTCCTTAAATTATCAAGGCCAAGTGACATTGCAAATATTGAAATAAATAAATAAACAAAAAGCATGGTTTAACGTGTGTCCTCTGAATCTAAATTTATGGTGTATACAAATATTGATTATAAGCTTTTCATTTCAATAGGCTTTGCCAGTCTAGAGCTAAACTGAAACTATAAACTAGGTCAAAGTTCTGACAAAGGGTGTATAAAATATAGTTATAGCATAACTATTATATAGCCTTAATAAATCAAATAAAATATTTTAATGTGGGCAGTCTGTATCAAAAATCATATATTTAAGAGATAAATTCTATTAGTCTCTATATGTACATAGCTTTACATAATTTCTGCATCAAAAATGGTAAGAAGGAGTAGAGAGCCACCGATAGAAGATAAACATATTAAACATGTTCTTTTCAAAGTTTCATTTAACTCAAATTTTATTTATAGAGCTTTTTGTGGGACAGCTGGTATAGTAGGTTTATATAATTAACTAGCAAACTAGCCTGGCACCATAACTGCTGCCTGTTAAATTAACAGGGCTCTGTATTACACTTTAAAATTTCTGATTCTAATTGGAATCAGAACAAATAGTCAACTTTGAGAAAATAGTGCTATCTTTAAAACAGTCATAATAGCCATAGAAATAAACTATAGTGCATATATAACCTGTTCTATAGAACACAGAACATAGAGTAATAAATATAGAAAGGACTAGAAAACATCCAACCTCCAGTTTGGCTAGGAGATCTATATCATTCTAGCCAAATGGCTCTCTGGTCTCTTTCTGAAAACCTTTCTCTCCAATCATCTCTAAATCATCCCTTTTCCTGCTTATTGGTGGTATAAGAATGAAGTCAAGGAGTGACTGAATTTAGTATCTAGAAATGAAATTATAATAAAATACTTTCATTAAGTTAATTCATATTTATAAGGAATACAATAGAATATGATAAAAGAACCAGATGTGATTGACAAATAACATATTAAACAGAAAAAACAAATCTTTTTTTTTTTTGAAGATATCTCTGCAGACCTAAATGAGCTCACAGATACTGTAACATCATATGTCAGCTTCTGCAAAGACTTATGTGTACCAACAAGGAACCTGCAAATTTATTTTTATTTTATTTATTTATTTGATTTGCCAATTGTTTACAAGATAATAAGTATAAGTGTATACATAGTTGTGAATACATGAAATGGGTACATATAAGAAAAATAAAAGAAGAATAAGAGAAACAATAGGACAGGGACGGTAGGCACGTTGGTGCGCTTATGCACGCCCCCTACAGACCTCTTAGGAAAGGGGTGAGGTCAATAGTAGACAGTCTAAGGTTAAAGTTTTCAAATATATAGTAACAATAAACCTTGGTTCACAGCCAAATTTAAGCAGCTATGTTATTCCAAAAAGGAAGCCTACAGAAAAGGTGACAGAATGCTATACAATAAGGCCAGAAATATATTAACAAGAGAAATCAGAGCAGCAAAAAGAAGCTACTCTGAAAAGTTAAGGAATCAGTTCTCAACAAATGAACCAACAAACGTGGAAAACTCTTAAAAACATCACTGGCTACAGCAAACCTCCTTCCTAGGCAGAAGGAAACCAACAACTAGCAGATGACGTGAATGTGTTTTACTGCAGGTTTGAAAGCAAACTACAGCCACTTATCTCCACAACCCCCATCTCAAACACACCAACAACAGCCAAGCCTCCTGCAACTGACCCCACCCATTGGGTTCACAACCTCTGGTGATCACAGAAAAAGAAGTGCAAGATCTATTTCACAGGCAAAAGCCAGGAAAAGCACCAGGGCCAGAGAAGATAACTCCTTGCTTAAAAGTCTGTGCTGACCAATTGGCCCCCATCTTCACCTGAATCTTCAGTAGATCACTAGAGATGTGCTATGTTCCTTCCTGCTTCAAATGCTCTACTATCATCCCAGTGCCAAAGAAGCCCTCCATCAAGAAAATGAATGACTACAGACCAGTTGCTCTAACATCTGTAGTTATGAAAATATTTGAAAGGCTTGTGCTGTCCCACCTAAAGATCATCACAGATCCACTATTAGATCCCATGCAGTTTGCATACCGAGCAAATAGATCAACAGATGTTGTTGTTAATATGGCTCTGCACTATATCCTCCAACACCTTGAATCTCCAAATACCTACGCAAGGGTCCTCTTTGTGGACTTCAGTTCAGCATTCAATACCATCATTCCAGACATTCTTCTTACTAAACTAAACCAGCTAAACCTGAACACACTTGTAAGTGGTTCATAAGTTTCCTAACAGACAGGAAGCAGCAGGTGAAACTAGGCAGAATCACATCTGATACCTGTACAATTAGCACAGGCCTCCCCAAAGACTGTGTGCTTTTTCCACTTCTCTTCTCCCTATATATTAATGACTGCATCTCAAACAATCCATCTGTTAAAATACTGAAGTTTGCAGATGATGTAACAGTGATTGATCTCATTCAAGACAACGATGAATCCACATACAGATAGGAGGTTATACAAGTTGCTTCATTGTGTAACTGGAACAATCTGGAACTTAACACACTCAAAACCGTAGAAATGGTGGTAGAATTTATTAGAAACCCTCCCATACTACCATCTCTTATAATACTAGACAACACAATATCAACAGTAGAGACCTTCAAATTTCTAGGTTCTATCATATCACAAGACCTAAAATGGACACCTAACATCAAAAACGTCATCAAAAAAGCACAACAAAGAATGTTCTTTCTGCGCCAACTCAGAAAGCTCAAACTGCCGAAGGAGCTGCTGATACAGTTCTACATAGGAATTATTGAGTCTGTCATCTGCACCTCTATAACTGTCTGGTTTGGTTCTGCAACCCAACAAGACAGACACAGACTTCAGAGGATAATTAGGACTGTAGAAAAAACAATTACTACCAATCTGCCTTCCATTGAGGACCTGTATACTGCACGAGTCAAAAAGAGGGCTGTGAAAATATTACAGACCCCTCATATCCTGGATATAAACTGTTTCAACTCCTACCCTTAAAATGACGCTGTAGATCACTGCACACCAGAACAACTAGACACAAGGACAGTTTTTTCCTGAACGCCATCACTCAAATAATTCCCTCAACACTGTCCAACTATTTACTAAGTCTGTGTTACTATTACTACTAATCTTCTCATCGCTCCTTATCACCCATCCCACTTGTAACTGTATGACTGTAATATTGTTGCTTGTATCCTAACAATTTTTACTGACTGTTTCCCAGTATGATATGATAACTTGTTGTACCTTATGACTATCATTAAGTGTTGTACTTTATGATTCTTGACTCTTGACAAATATATATTTTCTTTTATGTATACTGAGATCATTTGCACAAAGACAAATTCCTTGTGTGTCCAATCATACTTGGCTGATAAAGAATTCTATTCTATTCTATTCTTAAAACAGAATAATCTAGATATTTATCAAAAACCTCTTCCATCAGACTCTCTAAATATTTGTTCCAAATTTCAGTAGTATCTCGCCAAAAGTCATTCATTCTGGCACTCTTAAGACACCTTCCCCTCAATTGGCATTAGCAGAGAACAGTGTTCTTTTTAATAAGGGATGTTTTCAGTAAATCACATATTTTTGCACTATAGCTATTGCAACCAGAAACCATCAGACTTCACTGGAATTTACATACTATAAAATTATTAATTTACCATCTTCCAATAATTTGTAATTGCCAGAGGCATGCCAAATCAATGAAATGACAACTTAGCATTCCTATTTTTAATTATATCTTGGCAGCTAATTACATGTTGGCAGGGGTGGGGTTCTACAAGTTCGCACCTATTTGCTAGAACAGGTTGTTAACATTCTAAGCAGTTTGGAGAACTGGTTGTCAGAAGAAATTACTGGTCTAATCCTGTAAGGAAGGCAGGAAGAAAACATTTTCGTGTTGCTTACAGAAACTGCCTCTCCATTAACCCTTATTACATTCTTGGCAGGACTAGACTTCCTGTCTCTGGAACTGGAGTTTTTTCCCCTCCTTTGCTGGTACTTTGCTTGTGAGGAGTGACCATTCAAAGTTAAAATGGCACTGAAAAAAATGACTTATGATCATCTTTCACACTTACAACTGTTACAGCATCCCCACAGTCATGAGAGGCCAGGCAAGATGTGTGCCTCAATGTGAGTGATATTGAGTTGGCCACGCCCAGCCAATAACATGACCACCAAGCCACGCCCACAGAACAGGTTGGTTAAAAATTTGAATCCCACCCCTGCATGTTGGGGAAATGCATTTTATGTTTAAAATAATTATAGTTCTATATGTACTCGTGTCATGTAAGCCCAGGTTTCTGATGCAGTAATATTGCACGTAATATTGAAATTAACTGGTTTAAGTGAAATGCCAGTTATGAAGAGGAATATAGCATGGTTGTTCTTATTTAGTGAAAAACACTTATAGCTTCTCATATTTTGTTAATCAAAACTGCCATCAGGCATGAAAGGTCAAGACCAAACATGATTTATCAATAAAACATGAAGACAAAATATTCATATATTAGGATTGGCAATTTATTTATTTTTTTGAAAAACATAAACATAGTACATACTCCTATAAATCAAATGAAAATCCAAATTCAAAATTGAAGCCAACATCACATGTCTTGTGATTGTTTCATCTGTGGCACTAAATTAAATTAATATTTTACAGTATATTACATGTAGTCACTGTAGATGAGTAGTAGCACTTCTAAAAAAGAGCAAGATTATGTAATCTAGCAGTAATATACATTAAAAATCCAGTGCCTGCCATATGCACTGTCATCATAATTATTTATCATAATTATTTAACATCATAATTATTTAACATCATAATTATTAAACATAATACATTGAATATAGTTCAAGTTATCTTCAATAACATGTAAAACAAAATTATACTTATGTTAATTTTTTTAATGGCAGATTTCTCCAAATTATACATGTTCTACAGGTTTTCTTCATATCACTGAAACGTGTTAAGGGATTGGTATAGTCCTAGATGAACTATATCTAAATGAACCTAGTTAGAACTATTTTGAACCATAAACCACCTAAGAAGCAACAGATTAGATTTCTTAGTTGGAGCATTACTCACCGACATGTTCCTATTTTGCGAGTCATATTGTTGGGAATTGTGAAAGGGCACTGCCATATTCTCGTTAAATACAATGGACATGCTTGCAGAAACTATTGGGCAGAGCCACTAACAACAGTTTAACATACAGGCCAGCATTATTTTTCGTCCCAGTTTAGCAAATTTGTAGATATTACTATTTCATGTCTCTAAGGTAGCCTATCAAATAGATTGTCCATTTTGATAGTAATAAGTTGGATAGCTCAAACATTGCAACTTAATTAACTAATAAGTGGCAATTACAGCACATGGCATTCTAAACTATTTATTTTCTACCATAATCACTTTTAGTTTATTTTAAAACATCTATTGCAGAATTGTGTAAACAGTTGACTCATGGGCTGCATCAGTTTTGTGTAGTATATTGAAAGTCTCATTCCAAAATAAATGAACCCGAACTTGTTTTAGGGATAGGTTTCAGAAATTTTTTTAGAGATGAAATAGGTAACTTAAGTCACAACCAAGATTAAGATATCCATTTTAAACCCAATGATTAAAAAAAAACACACATACACAAAAAACAAAAAAACAAAACAAACAAAAGAGGATATGTAAAATTTGGCTTTGATCTTGGAGCTACAAAAAAATCACCTGGAATACTTGTATTCCTAGGTATTTTTATATTTAAAAAGAGGAAAAAATAAATAAATGGTTTGTAACAGCTAGATGGTTTAAATCACTTAATGAACAGAAGAGTGATGTGCTTCAGATCCATAAATATATTTAAATAGTCTTAAAGAACTAAAAAGTGTTCTCAGTGACTATTCATTCCAGGTTCATTAATTTGGTAACTTGCTATTTTGGCTTGATATAACTCTGAAAATAGGTTGTTCCTAGACCCTTGGCACATAAACAGAATCATAGATATTTAATGTCACTTTTAAACAAATTGGGAAGAGACTTGCATTTTTTCTATTAGGGATGACCATTTTAATCTATCACAGTGCTTCAGAGTTGTAGGACAGGTGCATCTAATTTTCACACAGAGGCACCTGAAATAAAATAAGCATGTATTAATAGCTTGTTATATTTTCAAACTCTTAAAATGAGACTCTTTTATATTTTTTTGCTAGATTCCTTTTGAATATACATATATATTTAGAAAAGCTTTCTAATATTTCTACATATGAAATTAAATTTTAATTGTTTCTTCTAACTGGTTGCATTTTTCTGGAGCAACAAGTAGAAGTCTGGGATCTTCTTCTCCAACTTAATGCCAAGGAAAAACGTTCTGCCTCCAAGATACTTTTCTGCCATCTATGGACAAGATGTTCAAAGGCTTCTTTCAACAGTGAAGAAGATTAAATGGAGCAGAAAGAAAAGCTTTCCTTTGCTGTAATATTTCTTTCTTCTTTCTTACATTTTAAGTAAATTTTCGTGCATCATATTTGATATAAATACTGAGACAAAATATATAAAAGATTATTGATTTGGACAGCACCCTATTTTCGGAAATTGTTTTCTTATTTCACTGACTTTAATGCTATCATTTACATATCACTATTTTGTTTTTTAGATGTAATAGCTTTATGCTGTATTTCCTTACAAAATGGCCTAAAATGTGTGTTTTTTAATGATTTTATGAGTTATTCTCCAAGCAGATTAGAATGCCATATTTATTGGCTTGCAGTCTGAGATGAAAAAAAAAATCTATTATTGGTGAAAACACACATAACAGCATATCTGTGTTGATGTACTTAAGGCATACTTCCAATATACTAGGAAATTCATTGATAGAGATACCAAATTGTTTCTATTGATCTTGATAATATTATTATAGGCATTATTATTGATGCCTTTAAATATTTTCCTGTATGTGCTATGTATGAGTCTAAGTTGAGACCTACTGATCCAACAATCCCAGTACTTTAGTCTCCTTAGTAGCATGTTTCAAATTTGAGCTTTCTAGGTCTTGAGCAGAAATTTTCCAAACTTATAAAAGATTGAGAGATTCATTTCTCAAATCTCATATATGCCATTGTATGTAAGTTATGCTCACACAACTGTTAACACCTGAAAATAAATCTGTCCAAGTGATTTCACACAAATAATATGTTCAAATGCTACATCTTTTGTGTCAAACTATTCTGTGCAGAAGGAAGTAACATTTCTGTTGGAATTATTGCAAGCCAGATGATGCTTGATACGTTCCGTTCATGAAGAGGATATGATTCCATCATCAGTCTTTTCACTAAAAGAGATAGTAACTGAACTGCCCTAACATCCAGCTTACACTCACCTTCCGGTCATAAAAAGTTAACTACGGCAACTACTTTGTAAGAGCTGCTTCAACTGGTATGAGAATATGAAAGCCTAATATAACTGTACTTTTTGTGTTCCTGAAAGGCTTTTTACACAATCAGTTACAAAGATGTATGAAAAAAATCTTACCACAATAATTCAGGTTACAGCTACTACTCATCTAAACATCATTTTGCAGTGTTTAAGAATTGTAATATGCTTTTACCCTACTCTTTCTCCTCTCAGATCAATAGCCTTCCTACAAATACTTTTTTTTTTTTACCTTTCTCAAATGTGCTTTCCCAGCTCCTGAGCGGATTGCTTCCATTAAGGCCTGCCTTGAATTCCCTGGGCTGTCTGTCATTCTTGGAAGAGGATGGGCTTTTTCCATTCCCAAATGTGCAGGAGATAATGGCGAAGGAGGTGGTGGTGGGGGATGATATTGCTGCTTTTGTGCGGAGTTGCTGTTATCCTTCAAAACCTGTTCTGCATTTTGGAATCCCTGAACCTCATCAGAAGCAAATGAAGAAATCTACCAATTACAAAATAAATTTAAAAAATGTTCACAAGAGAGATATTCAAATAGCAACAATTTGATACAAGGGCTATATTTTAATGTCCCATCTGAATTTTCAATTATTAAACTTCTATGCAATTTTACTTTTCAGACTAAAACATCTGTTCCTGTTTTTTCATATATTCCAAAAGGGCTGATAATCACAATCAAGGAATTAATTTTGATGCGAAAATTCAATCATTATTGTTATTCTATTATTACTTTTGGCATAGAAAGGAAAAATGGTTAGCTGGCCACTAGGCTAGATTAAAAGTAATCAATGCTTTATAGAATAAATGGTACTTGGCTCAATGGCAGTAACTGTGGAGGGCTCTAGATGTCCTAGCGGACATTTATTTATGTCTGAGCCAGCAGTGTGCTGCTGTTGCCAAAGAGCCAATGTAGTCTTAGGTTCCCACAACCATTCATCGTATGCTTTAGCCTCCAGGCCTTGAAAGATCTTTTTTGTATTTCTCTGCACCAATGGTGGGATTCAAAAAAAATTACTACCAGTTAGTTCTGTGGGTGTAGCTTGGTGGGTGTGGCAGGGGAAGGATACTGCAAAATCTCCATTCCATCCCCACCCCACTAACCTGCTTTCCAGTTCTGTTCTCCTGTGCAGGGCAACAAAAGAAGACCCAGTGATCAGCTAGGACTCAGAAGGCAGAGAATAGATGGGGGCAGGGCCAGTCAGAAGTGGTATTTGCCTGTTCTCTGAACTACTCAAAATTTCCACTACCAGTTCTCCAGAACTGGTCAGAACCTGCTGAATACCACCTCTGCTCTTCTGTCTTTCTAGATCAATATTTTTTTTATCAAGGTGTCCAAAACTGGGAACAGTATTCAATTATGGTCTTAGTAATGCAGTACAAAGTGGTACTAGCACTTCATGTCATGTGTCTCTCCTATAAAAAATATGGTGAGATGAGGAGAAGGCGGAGCTTCGTCGCTGTGATACAGCTGCAATCTCAGGGCTCCAGATCGCAGCTGATATCTTCGCCCCTGGTCGGTCCCAACGGACCTAAACCGTCCCGTAGAGACGGTGACAGTAAGGGGCGTGTTCTGTAGATCCCAGGGACATCGCAAGTCCCTGGTTGATCCAGAAGAAGCCCTTTTACCATTGGCGGAGAGGCAGCCATTAAGCTGCTGAAGTTGGGACAGCTCCGGAAGGACGAGACAGAAAGAGAAGTGTATCGGCTGGTGAGGATCTTTTTTTTTACTTGGGACTTAAGGACACCCTAAAGTGAGAAGAAATCTGTAAAATTCTTGACAAAATTTGACTTAGCGGCGATTTTTTCTTTAAGAATGTCAAAGTGAGGCTTGGCTTTTTATTTTTACTTTTTTCTCTCTCTTCATTGAACTTCTATTGCGATCTAGTTAATCAGACTGGTTTTTTCTTTTATATTTACTTGCTCTCTTTTTTCCTTTTTGATTGTTTATATTTTATAAAATAGAGGCCCCCTTTAGTATCTTTTTAAAAATATACATAAATATATATATATACTTTTTCTTTCTTTTTAGGGTTTTTTTAGGGGGAAAGAAGGGGGAGTGGTTTTAAGAAATTTTGCAA